GGGCAATAATACAGATCATGTTTAGGGGCCTCAGGAATCCAGAAATAGAAAATGAAAAGAGAAAGGCTCCACGGAGTATGTGACAATATTGAAAAGACAGCCGTAACCAGGGCGACCCTGTGAGGTAAACAGTGTCACAGTGGACAAAACACTGATATGTAAGTAGTTAAATTCTGTCAGCCTCGCTGTAAATGTAATAACATCAGTGTGTTAATAGAGATTATACTTCAAAACGCTGGATTCATAATTAGTTCAACTCTGTAAAAATGGGAACTTTCCAAAAAGAAACAATGCCTGAGACCGACCCCCCACCCCGCGCTCACCTCTCCGCTGCACCGAGAAGCTCTCATCAACCCTGTAGTTGTATCTGCAGTACCTGTCCACATTGGCCCGCTTCCGCTCCAGGAGCTCCTCCTGGCTGTTCCAGTACTCGGCGTCAGGCCGCCCCAGCTCCGTCAGCGCCACATATCTCCCCAGGTCGCTGTCGAAGCGCACGTTCTCCTCCCGGTTATGGAAGTATCTGTCCAGATACCGCACCCGCTCTGTCCCGTTGGTGAAGTGACACTCAGACTTAGCCTGCTCCAGGAAACGCGCTGTGGGGACAGGGGGGAGCCGGTCACCGGGAGTCTCTCCGGAAGAACTTGAGGACGAACAAAGCCCACCGGTCAGGTCGCCCTGGTTACTGAGCCCCCTGATGAAACCCACCGCTGGTGCTGATGATGTCATCCATCATCCCGGAGCCGGACCGAGGCCGCGCAGGGCGGGCACCACTGTTTCCAGCTCCTTCCAATCCGCTCCTGCTGAGACACTTGGATGGAGGTCTCCATGTAGGAGCAGACTAGGATGTGCCCCCATCCCTGCCTTTAACACCACCTGTTCCCCTCATCTCCACATTCTTCACCTGCTCCTCCAAACATGGCCTGATCCCTCCATCCTGTAGGGACCTCTATGGTCCTGAGCTTGTATCAAACCCAAACCCACTGCCTCTCTGTCTCTTTAGGCTCCCAGTGACGCTGTAGGGCAGAGGAGAACTGTTCCATGGGGTCTCAGAGACTGTAAATACCTATGGAAGCAGACTGCCAGGTCCGTCTCCCTGACAGCGGCTGGTGGATTTGAACCACTGACCTCTGGTTAGCTAGCAGCCCAGCACAAACCCACCGACACCACCAGGGCTCCTCATAACTAAGACAGATGATCTGAAACATTAAGTTGGTGTGAGTTATGATAAGAGTGGGGGATGTGTGTGAGCTTGGGCTAAAACAGAAGCACTTTCTAGTAAAGGGAACGGTGATGGTGGTGGTGTGCCCGACA